ATATATTCAAATAAAATAAATCATGCTTATTTGCATGATGCAGACCAATACAATCACCTGATGAAATCATCAATTAAATTCGATTCTTCACTATCACTCTTTAATATAATTAAATCGACCTAACAAGGTATCAAGCATGTTTATCAGTCTTCTCTTTGCAACCAAGTTCTTGTTTGACGTTTGATCATATCAACGTACTATATAAACTGTAAAAGAGACTTAACACGAGAATAAAGAAAGAAGTGGATTACTTAATTAATATTTGCATAAAAGTTTGTAATTTCATAGCAAGTATTAAATACAATTTTAAAAATAATCAATTTTCTTCTTTTGATAATAAAAGCTAATGAAGAATGTCTGGTCAAATAATTAGTCCTTCAGTTTCTCATCGTTAATACAATGTAGACACTATCGTGTTCCTCGAGACTATAAGTAAATGAGTTTACTTTAAACTTGAAGGAGACCTACGATGAACAAGTAAACAATTGTTTACGATCAGATTCACCGGAAATAATACCACGGAAATTTTTTCACAATTTGTCTTTTGACAGATAGTTTGCATGCCTGTGGAAGAATAATTTTCCATTTTAATTTAAAAATTAATATTTATTTTCTTTGTATATATATATATATATATATATATACGGTGTGGCTTAATGTATATAGAATAAGTGAAAGGAAATTTAGTATAGACCGGATAGCTCAAATGGTAGAGTAGCCGACATGTCTTCGGAAGGTTCTGGGTTCGAATCCCAGTCCGAGCTATTTAATAATTTTTTCTCGCATATTCTATATGTAAACTCACATTAAGATGATCCTCTCCACAATCCTTTCTCAATCCTTTCCTACCAATTATCCTGTTACGTGAATGTTGGAACGCTTCACGTAATAATTATCCGTAACTCCTATTCTTTCCCGCTTCACAGCATTATTTATATTTGTTAATATATATATGGCTACGGAATTGACGTATCGAATATTAAATCCGTCTTATGTATAATATAAAATCGATGATATTACTACTTGAGCAAATATTATTTTATTTTTGTTAAAGAAAAGAAAATAGTTGAAGGAAAAGAAAATCAGCTTATCGAGTGAAAAATTCTTTGATTCAAAATTCCCTATGTAATCTTATGGAATAATGTAATGTAATGTAATGCTTTGTTTACTTGATCGTAGGACTATGTCCCCTGACGACCATAAGAATACAATAATAGTAATAGTACAGGTGCACTTAAAGGTGCTTTTTTATAATTATAATAATGATACAGTAATAGTAAAAAAGTAATATATAATACAGTAATAACTGGAGAATACGACATTGCGGCATCTACCCTCCTAGAAGAGGTGTGGTCATAGTTTCCAAGTCACCCAACTGAAAGCTCGCTAGAATACTAAATAGAATTGTACTTGTTTGTTAGTATGGGCTCTAAGACTTACAAAAATACATTTACTAACAAAGCTCAAGAGTAAGATCAAAAGAAATATTAAAGTCTAAAGAGCAAAGACTAAATTTATAATTCCATAAATTCTTATTGTTTGAATTTAACCATACTTTTTTTTTTCTTATTACTTTTATTTTTAGATTTATTCTCCCAGCTATATTTTTGCTCTTATTATTTTTATTATATTCCACTGACACACTATAACCACCTGCTGACGGTCGTCGCGCGAGCTGCTTATCGGGAGCCGGCGTATCGATTCTACGACAGGTTCCAGGAGTGAGACGACGATGTGACTGCGATGAAATAATAGAGTATCTATTTTCCGAGTTACTGAGTATCTACGTGTAATTGTTTTTGCTACGGTAAATATAAAAGTATGAGTACGAGTATCAATATCTGTTATAGTGTAAATTTACTTTGTAAAAAAAAAGTATTGTTTTTTAATAATAAAAAACACTCATTTATAAATATAAATAATGAAAATAGTAGCAGCAGAAGAAGAAAATATACTGTTTAGATAGTAAAATTTAAAATGCGTGTTCAAACAACATTATAAACATCACAGTTGCTTTATAAATTATAAATAATGGGATACAATCCAATTTATTAAATGTATTAAGTATAATTAATGTCAGTCTGGATATCTTTTGATCATCAACATTAGTGCTAGGTACATAATAAAAATTTGTATTTTTTTTTTAAGGCTTAAATTTTCTTCTGTTACTCAAATAAATAATATTTTTTTATTATATTGAAGACAGCAGCAGACATTAGATAAATTTCATAATTTTAGACCTTAATTACATGTTATTTAATAAAAATTATTTTAAAAAATGGACATACTGTTTTTTAAAATACTTTTTATCAATATTTATTTGGTATAATTGAAAAAATAAATAATGTTTCAAGTGTCTGGTGTCTTCAGTATGATAATATTTTTTTGAAAGTATTTAAAAATCTAAAAGTAGTAGAATTTAAGAACCTGAGTTTTGATTTATAAATAAAAATATAATATTGGCTTATAAATAAATATATTTAAAAGTAACTAAATACGAATATAAGTAAATAAGCAGAGAAGAAAACTCGTTATGGCAATCGCGGGAAAAAAATGTCAAGTATAAACGGAGTACTTGAGAAATGATGAAAGACAGTGGTTTAAAAGAGGGGATCGGTGGTATGTATGTGTAAGATGATGTACACGCGGTTGTATCTAATAAACATAATAATAATAATAATAATAATAATAATAATAAATCGGTGCATGAATGTATTGTATTGTATTGTATTGTATTGTATAATTATGAATGTGGTGTGTATGACAGATACTTACTTGCCGAGTTCTTCTTTGAGATCGTAGTTATCACTGAACCGCGTGCTGGCCACTGGGGCAGCCATATCGATAAATAATTACTCAGTTTTATTTATTTCACTGGATAAAAGAAAAAGGCAGCAGTACCGTCACTATGCTACGAAAAGGGAAAGAGTAATTTAGCCCGGTCAAATCCGATCGATAATCCGTGCGTGGTGATGGCTCTTGAACGGTGTTTCTGCTCTCACGAACACGGTTGACTCCTCAGGTATCGTAGTCTGGTGCACTGTTTACCCTGTTGGTGGGCGAAATAACGAGCGTGCCAGCGATTATTTTAGTGTCACACCGAGAAATAAATATTTAACACGGTATAGCTTTGCTGACCACTCTGCTCGCCGGCAGACTGTTGACTGACTCAAGTAGTAATTATTATTGCGCTGCCGGCTGAAACGCGCGCAGCCAACCTTCGCCGAGGGGATCCCTGCTGCTACTCCTACTGTACTGCAATGCTACTTTATATATTATAGTTATTTCTTTGATATAATACTCTAGCTACTAATAACACCACCGTTTTTCCTTGTCGTCGTCGTCGTCGTCGTCGTCGTCGTCGTCGTCGTCGTCGTCGTCGTCGTCGTCGTCGTCGTCGTCGTCGTCGTCGTCGTCGTCGTCGTCGTCGTCGTCGTCGTCGTCGTCTCGTTGTCGTTAATGTTAGATGTTTAAATTTAGATACTAAACCCGAAACGGCTGAGTTGCTGCTGATGCTTCTTCACTGTACTACTGATGCCGTCTGATTTCGTAGCCATCAGCGATTTATAAACAAAAACTATTTTTTAAAAATCCATTATTAATTGTGATTATTTACTCTATCACATTTGTCTTTGTTTTAATTATTAGCACACGCACTATTATTGCTACTGCTTTATAAAATAAAGTTTTGTGTTGTCTGTTTTTTACAGTAGGTTCTCACGAGTCAAATTCTGTTAGAGCTTTGTACGGTCGATCTCGACTTATCTCTGCCCCTAGTTTTTCAACTATTCTTCTCTTTTCTTCTCCTACAATTACACCCGACCTCTCTTTCTTACGCATTACACTACATTCACCGTTGCTAACGAATAAAACGCGCAAGCTCATGACACCCTCATATATATATTTTGTGTTTAATGCGCATGTACGTGACCGCCTGACCAATATCCTGTCTTTACTACTTAATCTAATGCTTATTCTCTCATCGATCCAACACACTTCTGTTGTGAAAATTTTATTGTTTTAATATCGTTTAATTTTAATTTTTACATTTCTCGTGTGAAATTTTATTTATTTTATTATCTTTCAAGTCACTTTTTTTTTTTTTTTTTTTTTTTTTTTTTTTTTTATTATTATTATTATTAATACATAGCTTATTCAATAGTTACAAATTATCAGCATATATAATATAAATCATTTTTAACGCTATTTACAACTATACGGAAATTATTAAAAATGTATCATATGTCTTGAATATAGTAAATAAAATAAAGTAAACAGCAACTTAAGCGTTGAAGCATAATATTAACTCAAGTATTAATTTTTTATTTATCAACACTCAGTCATATTTGGAATCAATAATAAAAGCTCAATTTTAATATGAAAAAGATATATATGTAAGCATTAACATTTATTATTATAAGTACAATTTTTCAGCATAAATCAATTATCGTTTTTAAAAATATTGAATGCATAACGTAATTTTATCAACTTTATATTATATATTATACCTATGTAAAAACAAAAATATTAATTTTATACTCGTTTTTGGATACTTTAAAATTTGATTTTAATTTTGTAGAGAAATTATCTCTTTAAATACATGAAATTGACATCGTTAAATTTTTAAGAAAAGTATGATCAATTTGTGAACATGAAAGTAACACAAACAATTATGATGTCATTATGTCAGAATTTTTATTTGAACGTCTTATTATTTAACCACTCAAAGAAATCATACACTTTGAGTGTTATACACTTTTCCTTTGAGAATAATTGAAAATTCATTTTAATGACACTGTCATATTTTTAGTCAACAAATGTTCACTGTTGTATACAAATTGTAACACTTGTTTAATCGATCACCAAATTTATTGTTGATCTTATCAAAAATTTTATGACTGACATCATTGATTTCTCATTCATTCTATTTATCATGTGGTAAAAATAAATATTTTTCATCAACATAAATTATTGCACGGACAAATTTACTGATTAAATTATTCAACGGTGACAGACTTGGCGAGATTTCTTGGACAATCAACATTACAGCCTTTAAGTACTGCGATATGGAATGATAATAATTGCATTGGAATGACAGTGAGTATACCTTGAAGACAATCAACAGTTTTTGGTATTTCCAATACTCGTGATGCCAGTGATTTGGTGTCTTCATCTCCATCATGACAAATAACGATAGGTTTACCATCTCTTGCCGTAACTTGTTGCAATGCATTCATACATTTCTATGTAGAAATAAAATTAAAATTATTTTCGGATTTATAATATAAGTAGTAGTTAACAATTATAATTATAATTTATTAGCAATTAACTTACATTATAAACTGGATCCCTCATTACAATCATAATAATAGGCATCGAATCATCTACCAGAGCCAAAGGTCCGTGTTTTAATTCACCAGCCATTATTCCTTCACTGTGCATGTATGTTAATTCTTTGACTTTCTGTATAAACGAAAATATAAATATTTAAAAACATCAAATCGCTTAATCAAATCAGCAATAGAAAAAAAAAATAAATTTACCAATGCTCCTTCCATACATGTTGCAAAGTTGTAGCCCCTGCCCATAATAAGTAAGGATTTGAATTGATACAATGATTTAGCTAATTCTTTAACTTTATTATCAAGCTTCAATACCTCTCGGATTTGACTGTCTAAATTTTTCAAGCCTTCAATAATCTAAAAGTATAACAATAAATATTATTTATTTATAAATTTATGCATACGAAAAAAAAAAAATAATAATAATTACCTCCATACGTCGGGGGCCTAATGAATTTCTGTCTTCACTCATGACAAGTGCGAACATAACAAGAGAAATAAATTGCGATGTATAAGCTTTTGTACTAGCCACACCAATTTCCGGACCAGCATTAATGTGAACACCACAATGAGATTCTCGAGAAATACTACTACCAACAGTATTTGTTATACCGACAATTAAAGCACCACGTCCTTTGCAGTATCGCAATGCCATAAGTGTATCAGCTGTTTCACCAGATTGTGAGATAAAGAAACAAACGTCATCACGAAATACTGGAGTATTTCTATCTAAAAAGTCTGACGCCAGCTCAACCATTACAGGTAATTCAGTTAACTCTTCCAGAAGCTGGCGCGTTGCTACAGCTGAATGGTAACTTGTTCCGCATCCAATCAACATTAGACGACGACATCTCTTAATTTCCGGTATATAATCCTAAATAATTAAATTAAATTATCATATATTATTAATTGCTTATTTCTTAATGAAAATTTAGTAATAATAAAATTTATTATTACAGTAATTCCTCCGAGAGTAACTGAGTTATTTTGGAAATTCAAACGACCTCTCATGGTATTAACTACAGACTCTGGTTGTTCGAAAATTTCTTTTTGCATGAAGTATTCATAATTTCCCTTCATAATTTGCTGAATCTCCATCTTAAGGGTTGTTATTTCACGAGCATGAGGATCATCCATACACCGACGTAAACGATGAATACTTAATGTACCTTCTTTTACGGCAGCAACATCGTCATCCTGTAATAATATTTATTGTTTAATAAAAATTTATCGTTAGAAGAAAACTTTTGCAAATTAAAAAAAAAATTTTGAGTACCTCGAGAAATATGACACGGTCAGTATGCTCGATAACAGCACTAGCATCTGAGGCAAAAAAGTATTCAACTTCTTTTTCAACCGATGGCTGAAATTCAGCAGTACTATCACTACGAGCGATAACTGGAACATCGGCATTTCGTCCATGGGGTCTATGATCTGATAAATAAAAATTTATTAAACAATTGTACACCGACAATTAAATCGTTCATAAATAAATTATTAATGTTATCAAATATATTAAATTATTATTTAACATCACTATGTTATATTATTATAATAACGTTAAACTAACATATGTATACAAAATTGATTTAGTAAAAAAATTAATTTATTAAAAAGATTGAAAATTTTTAATTTATTAAAATTAAATGAATAATTTTTTTTGTTATTGTTATTATTTTTATAATAATTTATCTTACCCGTCACCTTTTATTTAAAACTTGTCGCTGACGATGACACAGTAGACAACATATAGACAAGAACAATAAAGCCCATAAATTAAAAAAAAAAAAATAGATGTAAGAAGAGAGTACCACTACAACTTTTAGTTTATTTTAACCACCAAGCAAGTGAAACAATTTAAACATTCAACAATACCTTGTGTTGTTGCTTCACCCTCTTCGATGTTTCGAAAGGTCATCAAAATAAAAGGAAAAAAAAAATAAAAAATTAATAAAACAAAGTTATTTACGTTTATGAATATAAATAGTCCAGGAGGAATCGGCGCATGAGTACCGAAAACTATTCCACCTCAATTTTTTTATGCAATCCTCTTCAAATTGCCCTACTGATGATATAAATGCATGTTGCCATGAGGCAACCCGGTGCCATATTGTTTAAACCAAAATTGTTTAAACAATTGCAAGGAATTGTTATTTTTCAAC